GTCAAAGGCCGTTTAGGGTCACGGAAGTGTTTTGATCCCCTCTCTGTCCTAACCAGCCAGTCACCTTTTAAGGCCGGTTCACAAATGACTTTATTGCGGTGACTGCCTACGCTCTCGCACTGCCAAACCCGGCGACTTCACTGCAGGACTGCAGACACCGGACCCGGCTCGCTCACGGCTGGACTGCACTCCTCCGAGAGTCGATTTCCTCTTACCCATACTTCCCTCATCCTGCACTTAATTAAACGTTTTCTAACACTCTGACCTCCCACGTCTTATCTCCTTATTCACTGTTTCATACCTGTTGGGATCTTAGATTGCCTGGTCGGCGTACTTCATATCCCACAACTTCAAAGGTTGGCAAATGACTCGGTCTTCAAGGCAAATATGTTGAAGTGACTGCCGGACCAAGGATCAGGCTGTAATGGCTTACTCTCATTGAGGACCTTTATGGCATTCTCACTGAGGTGAGGTCCGTGTAGCCCTTCTTCTAGTAGCGATCAGGTCATAGGAGGTAGGTGTAGATGGCCTACTTCCTTTACTGAACCACTCTACCCGACTTCACCTCTGATCTTGCTCTGGGAGGAGAGCGAGTGACTGAGGGAGGAGAGAGTAAGGTAGATGATGGACAGGTTTACCTCACTATCAATTGGTTCATGCATAAGTTACCAGAGCTGCGTCCACTCTATACAGCTCATGATGGAAAACGTCGAGTAAAACAGTCATAACAATGCTTTCATGCGTATACACATCGAAATCAACAAATCATCACACTTCATGTAGCAATAGTGTGTTGCATGTCTCCAACGTCATAATAAATAGCAGACCTGCCAGTTGTGAACGTGTACATCTCTATAGTACATTAAATTGTATTGTAGGGAATCTAGGCTTACTTAGAATGAGGGACTAAAACGCGAAAGACATGCAAAGAGGGTGGTTTTAATGCCAGGAGCAACATCGGGCCCAAGATCAGCAAAAGGTTCGGCAGAAGAAAGAGGCAGGTTGGTCCAGCTCGGATCCACGCATTATTTCTTCGTTATAAACGACCGAACCTGTCTCGATTCCGCGAGGATATTGGGCGTTTGGACAACCTGTGTGGAGTCTCTAATATCAGTGTTGTTATTTCGGCAATACATATTTTGCACTTCCAATCACTGCACTCCTCGTGAAATTTGAAGCAACGTTCATACAATATTTATAAGAAGAATAAAAGACTAGACAAACTGTTTTCAACTCACGTCATCAAATCCGAATAGGTTATTGGGAAATCACAGTTAGGGCATAACGTTAGGTCAGTCTTGATGACGTGTTTGCCCTGTAAGAAAAAAAAAGAAAAAAGACATGTCAGTAAGAAGACAGCATTAGAATAATTAAAACGGACAGAATAGCGGCCGAATTTTTTTTAATGACCGAACTTATCAGAGACAAAACACACACAAACACAGGTCCTGCAAACCTGGGGTTAGGCAAGACTGGTTGGCGACGTCTAATAAGCTAGAAATGGACATTCCGGTATCCGTTATCCTTGTCGGTAATCTCCTTCTGTTTATGCTACTAGTGGCTGTGTGACTGCCTCTGGAGCATTAGATTCGGCCCCAAAGCAAAATGGGACATGTATGTGCCTTTACTCCGATGTGTGAATGCACTTCCAACACCGTTAATACAACCGAACACAACCGACAGGAGATCAAGTCCGTGGCTCGATTGGTATATCGTTGGAATTACTAACGTCTGGTGATAAAATGACGTGGGATCGAGGGGCAAATGCTGCAAAGCTGGGATTGGGTGAGGTGGGCTGACGATGGCTACTAAGTCGGAAGTACTTATCCTAGTTTCCCCTGTCTTTGGAGATAATCGCTTTCTACATATATGCATGAATTGATCGGAAATGACATGTGTCAACAAAGCATGCACCCAAAGAACCCAACAGCACTGATCAAAAATCTGGCGCTCTTTATCGGAGCGAATGTGTCTGTGGCAAAGTCAATTATATTGGTGAAACCGGCTGGCCGTTTTGTGGTAGCCATCTGCCATACTTGTGTTCATTCACAACTTTGTCGTACCTTTATTTGTACATAACGTTCTAGACTAATTCTATTTTGTACGCCCGTTCAGTCGGTGTACATATGTTACCCCGCTACACTTCAACTGGTTTGGATTATGTATCGATAGCGGACATCTTGGTCTTATTGTCGCTCTTCACTAGACGGTGTACGGATTCGATTTCGCCATGGCCAGGTTTTTGGACTCGGCTTATCGTGACGCGTTCTTAGCGTGGGAGAGCAGCATCGATTGCCTTGCTAATAGCTAAAATTTTATCAGACAAAGCACTAAAGCAAACTGGCATCAGGGATCGAAATGTAAGCTCACCATTGTTAAAGTGTAAAATTCACTTAAATTGAACAGACATGGAAGTGGCTTGTCGTGACCCGCTTGTCGGCTTCGGGCTAATCGATTTTTTCGTCGCTGTCACGGGCCTTTGGAGGACATTAGCGGGCATTAATGCTTTATGAGTCACCACACCTATGGGGGTGGCTGAGCCTTTATCGCCGTTCTTCGGTCTGCTGGCTCTTTATCACTGTTGGGTAAGTTCAGTATCGCGCTGTCTGCGCGGCTTAAGTTCTGTATAGCCGTCTTGTCCCGAACTTTGTTTGCCTAATGACATAAGCTGCTGTAAGGTCAAAATGTCTGTTGCTGAAGTTGGCATCTGAATACCACGCCTTAATTGTTAGCCCGTTCCGTTTTTACTTTCGTAAGAGCCTCTGTATGTGATAAATATTCCTACTAGAGGTAATGAAAGGCACTTTCGAACGCTGTCTTATTTTTAATCGAAGAATGTTAAGGTCTAAAAACGCGTCAGAATCCCACAAAGACGCCGAATCTGCTGCGTACTACCGACTGACTGGGGCACGACACCAGTTCTCATAGCTCAACATGCCATCGATTAAATTTTACTCTGATGGGGGTGTAAACTTCACCATTCAAATTTATATTTAGAGGACTCTAGTGGATAGTCTTTAGCTCCCCCTTCTCCCCCCATCAGAAACATTAAAACACTTCCTCATCTGGATTCTGAGTTCATAAATCCGCTATCAACCAATTATCATTATAGTGACCTCGAAAATGTCTACTATGCACATTTCTAAAAAAGCCATTCTAAGTTCCTCCTCTGATCAGTGACTTGCATACAGTTCCTTTATACCACAACGAGTCCATTTCTTGACCTGATCACTGCTGGGGCAACGTCGTGTACACATGTAGAATAAAAATCGGTGAAGGTCGCCAAGCTACTATAAGTTAAAGTACGAGCTGACCGTCAAGGCACAATAAGACACGTTGTTGCGACAAGATGCACAGTTCAGATCATAGTCGCCTAGATCCGCTGAACAGAAGGGGCAAGGAGAAGAGGAACGGAGGATCTCCAGTTCTTCTGGTGTCTGTTTTTCCGGCCGCCGAACAATGCCCTCAAACTTCCTTCGGTACTTCTGGTCGATCTTCTCTCTGTACTCTGGACGCAGAAGCATGGAGGCGTAGGTAAAACTGGCAGTCTTCAGGCCAACCCTTTGGCATTCGATGACGGTACTGGTGAGAATCGGGACAACGTCTGAAAAGATATGGGATAAACTGCACAAATATATAGACTGCAAGTCCCCATTCGGTTCGAATGGTCATACAGATATTTCATACAGAAAGGCAGAAACTTAGATAAGACCGTGAAGCTAAAAGTACGGGTCTTTGCAAGTTAATGCGAAAAACGGATGAGATGGTCAATAGATACGACGGGCAGTCGGTAAAATTAGTGGGGCATGGAACTAAAATCAGCATTAGATAGACAATCTGCATACCTCCCTGCAATTGACTACACTTGCATTAACCTCGACACCACGATGAAAGTCGGAGTATAAAGGGGATAGAAGCTGAATGAAGAAACTATTTGGAAAGAGGGAGACAGAAGGGAGGTTGCAGGGGGCATCGAGCATTTGTGCAAACAATAAGTCATTAATCCGATCTATTTGTGCAAAGCTAGGTGACCTTAGTGGGATCCCAATCTACGACAGCGAGAACAAAGCTTTTTACAGGCAGGAAAAAATAGGAAAGAACAGTGGTTCAAACGTACGTGAAGGGAACTTGCTGATGTTCTGGGCAACCCTGATGAGGAGACGTGCAGCATTGACGTGATTTCCAGCCTTTATATGTAGCTGAAAAGGTAAAAAAACTTTACTCCAAGATTCCGCATCGAGTTGTTAGGTGTAATACGACGTACAGCTTAACTTTGCAGATATACCGTGAATATTAATTGTGCAATGGTAGACTTTAGGAGTCACATCACTATTAGTGAACTGAAGGGCGGTTAACAGCAGGCCGTTGTTGGAAGGAAAGGCTGAAAAAATGAGTATCCTATGGGTTTCGGGAAAGTTGTCCATGTGCAAATAACCAGAGGCCAACAGGCACGGCGTAAGATGCAGTTGTGACACATAATTTTTCAAATGCTGTACGTAAAGAAGGCTTATGAACTTATTTTATACCTTTTGATGGGTGTTAGAAGCCATTCAACTAAAGGTTCTCCGTCGAAGTAGTTCTTTCGGCTTTTGAGCTCTCTGACTGCTAGTTCAGTCATCAAACTCACTTTGTCGACACAAATCTTACAGAAGCTCAAACGATAAAGTCTCAGATCAAAAGAACCCACGACTTCCTTTGATGCCACGTCAATTCTTATTCTTTGTCCCTAGGATTTAACAGTCGAGATGATCGAACTACACCTGGAGAGTAAAAGCAATAAACTGGAGAATATATCGAAAGGTTTTAAGGCTAA